AAAATCTATAGAATGAAAGAGAAGAAAAGCATACCTCTAAAGGTAAAACTAAATTACAATTTTGGATGATAAAAATATAAAATCGAACAAAGAAGTGATGGTCATAAAAGTCAGGATGAGTTTTTATTTGGGGTAGGAAAGAGTTTATTGCTGAGCTGGGATAAATGATGGGGAATCTGGTTATTCTCACGAACATCTATCACTGGTGGTTAATCGGTGTTTACTTTTTATTAAAGGACACACATTTTACACAGTTTTTTTTTTCCTTTTGGTGTCCTATATTTTATTTTATGACACAAAGGCTAAAGAAAAAACTAATTTACAGATTATGATTACTGTTTGCAAAAAGCCTCCTCCCCATCCTCCTCTCTGGACACTGAGCACCCAGAACACCCGGCAGCCCCAGGACCCCCGGCAGGGGTGACCCCACTTCTAGGTGTGTGTGCAGCTCACATCAATAGAGGCAATGCACAGGTCTACTCCTTGACTCCTGGAGAGCCTTGTGGGAGGAAAGTCTCATAAGTGCCGAAGCAGGAGACTGAAGCCTCAGGCATTTCCTGTTTAATAAATAAAATATAAGAAAGAAGAATCTGGTTAGAAATAAGTACCATGAGTAATTAGATATTAGTCTTATTGAACATTAAGGATCATGAGATTAAATATTAGTCTTAATGAATATTAAGCCTTGATTAAAGCCTTCTTGTACTTTGTGCATGATTATCTAGGAACTTCAGGTTGCTGCGGTCAGGGATTGATGGGGATATTATGAAATGTGGCCACGAGGCAAGGGCATTGATACCTGCCAGACATCAGCTGGTGCCGATCAGCAGAGATAACCTGTTGAATGCCAAAATCAAGCCCTCTGTCACACCGTGTAAGGGTTGCTGGAGAGCACCTAAAATCTCCACAGTAGCGCCAGTGCTTGGGGAAGCACCCGCTACTCAGCAGACCTTGGAAGGGAACGTTCCCTGTCCTGGGATGAGTCTGAGAACACTTCACTCCTCCACGCTCTTGTGGAAGGACTGATGTCAGTCAGCCCAAGCTGCAGCAACCCCAAGGCTTAATTGTCTCTATGTGGTGCTGGGCTATAGTGGCCACAGTCTGTGTCTGCCTTCACCCGCTACTTCTGCACCTGGTTCCTCTTTTGAAGATAGGAAGAAATAGTATACTTCCTGAGACCCTTGTTCTTACTTGAAAAGCATAACCTAAAGTGCTGACGCATTTCTTTCCCCCTGCTTTGGCTACTTGCAAGCCTTGGGCCCCTTGTTCGGCTACTCGAAAGATCTGGGCCCTTTGTTCCTTAGACACGTGACCCTGCCCCCCTGTTTTGTACCCAGTAAAGGCCAGAGTGTCCAGGCACTTGAGGCCACCACCCGACTCCACGAACTGGTGGTAGTGGACCCCTGGGCCCAACTTCTTCTCTTTTTCTCAGCGTCTTGTGTCTTTATTTCTACAATTTCTTGTCTCCACACCCATAGAGAATACCCTCTAGACCCAGTAGGGCTGGACCCTACAAACCTGATAGGACACAGCTGAGAGGAGGCCATCCCCACCGTCTGCAGGCTCTTGGCCATCAGTGTAGAGGGAGCAGGTCCTCACCTCTCCACAGGCACCTTCATGGCCAGAGCCTCCCCTGTGCATGGGAAGTAAGACCTGGCCCATCCCCTGGACTTGGTGACAGGGATCTCGTCAAAGGTGGAGATGACACCATTCCTCCCCCAGCAAACTCACCCTTCTTTTGCTCTACAGGAAAGTTGATTCAGCCTGGTGTCCAGTGAAGAAATCTCAGGTGCATAGGAGAGGTGGAT